GGGGTACTCCTACAAGGTGAAGCTAAGCTGTCTCTAGTACAAGTAAAACTTCCACCCGTTGAACGGTTTGCCTACTCGAGGATGTGTTTTTAAGGGCACGGATAGAGCTTCCGACCCCCCTTAATTTCATCGACCCTCCACACTAGATGAGGAAAAGGAGTTAAAAGAAGTACCTTGGCGAGCGCCAGGTGTACAGAAATTGCTCTTGCTCGAATAATAAGGGTCGACCGTGCGAAAGATTGCAGTTGGAACTCCCGCCAAGTGAATGAAAAAAAAAAAGAGAAAAAGAAATAAAATGAAAGTGAAAAAGGGGTTCCAATGGTGAAATGAAGTGAAAGAGAACCCCGGTACAACGAGTCTTTGGTTGTGAATTGTATGAGTCCCTTTATCCATGAACTGACTGTCTTACTTCCACTACTTCTCATGATCCTGGCTTGAGTCTAGTACTCGCATTGAGAGAGATAGGGAACGTCTTAGAAGACCAGTTGACCTCGTAAGCTGCTATATGATCTAGAAAATCCTCTACCGACGATCGGGGTTGTTTGTTTCTATAGAGGTCTGGAGAGCTGCATTGGTTTGAGTTAGGTTGGCTTGGGGACAAGCAAACGGTTAAGTGTGGGGGGATTTGATGACTCGATATTTGCACATGCTTTCCCCTTTGTTTCTTGATCATTTAAACTTGCATTATCGCTTCTTTGGCCTATTTTACGCTAGGTTGTGTTCCTTTGTCACATTTCAGGTCCTAGCACATAAAGTGAAGCGTAGGCGCAAGTTTCAAGTCAATTAGAGATCAATTGGCGACTCGGGGGGAGAAACTCGAGTATGACTTGAAGAAGAATGGATTTCTAACTCAGTTTGTGATATATAATTATGTAATCTTATCATGATAAGAAAGAGGACGAGACTACGAGCGTCTGGGATCAAACGGCACCTGATTTGGAGTCTGAACGAGGGAGAAACGAAGAATCAAAGATAGGGGACCCGGAACTGCAAAATACCCGACCATAATACCCTACCGGGTATTTTTGGCCATCTGATAGGGGATTTTTGGAAGCATCAGAAGGCCACCCGGTCATGAACCAAAAATACCCGACCGGTACGAAAAATACCCGACCGGGTATTTTCCCTTTTGCCCAGAATAGTGACCCGGAGCATTTTGTTGATACCCGACTGGTTCCCTAAATACCCGACCGGGTATTCTGACCGGGGATCGCGAACGCAGGCTGTTAAAAGCCTGTTTTGTGCGTTTTTGCAAGAGAGAGCTGGGTTTTGGATCCCAAACACCCAAGGGACGAATCATAGAAAGAAAGGGCGATTTGAGGGCATTCTAAGAGTGGAATTGGAGGATTTCTTCGCCTTGGAAGCTCGAGGAACAAGCCCGGACTTGAAGACTGATCATCTGAAGATTCTTACTGCAATCTCTCTCTTCTCTATGGAACAACTTCCCTTCACTTAGGTTTTGAGGAACCCTAGCTATGTTTGTTTGATTGGATGATTGTATGAGTACTCCTACTTGATAATCTTGAGTTCATATTCAATCTATGCATGTTTTCATGATTCAATTCTGCTTTAGTCGAGATTATTGATTCTGCTTTGATCCTATGAGAGCGAATACCTGATTAGGTCAATAGAGCACCATAGATTGATAGTATTGGATCGATTGCTTTAGTCGAGGGTTGATTCACTGCTTTGTATCGATTAAGAACCTCATTCGATAGAGGGAGTCTAGTTCAGAACGACTTGATCGGTTGTTCTAGAGAAGGATACGTCCCTCTAGGCAATTGACTCAAGAGGCCCTTGTTCCTTTAGTCGAGACTCAAGTTCTAGCCAAGGATTCTCCGCATTGTGAATGAAAGTGAAACAAGTTAGAGATCATCAATCGTTAATCTGGCTAGTGATTCTGGGGAATCATACCTAAGTGAGTTCCCAACCTGTAATTAGATTAACTTTAACTGTAGTTTGCTAGAGTAGTTTTAGTTCTTGCATCTTAATCTGGTTTGCTAAATAATGAACTGAAGCTGAGTAATAGTAACTCTAGAGACCCGTGGATTCGATATTTATTACTTGAGCCACTATACTGCAGTCCCTTTCATTGTTTACACTTGGTCATTGTTAGGTGTTGTGTCATAGCGAGGCACTCCTCAATTCCTTCCTCGAAGAAACCCCTCCTTAGCCGGATTATCTTGGGGAAACCTATTAATAAAAATCCATTTTCTTAGACGACCTTTCTTGATTCAAAACCCCTTTTGAATAACTAGAACATCCTCTCCTCAAACTCCATTCCTTGAACCTCATTCCAAGGGTCCTTTAACCCCCCATTAAAATTTTCTATAATTAATCTCTTCAAAAACGACCATTTTTCTTAATTATTTTAGTCTTGGACGAATTTTCCACCTACCTAGAACCTTCTTAAAAATTTGGATAATAATTTTTCCATGTCAATCATGATCCCCTATACCTTGTAAAATTATCAAACCCTTAAAAACCCCTCGCAAAGTTTTTTTTAAATAAACAAAATATTTAAAAACTTTCTAAAAATAGAAATACATTTTCAAAAATCCCCAAATTAAATAAGAATCATCTCCTAAACGTTGCTTAATTTATAAAATTGTTAGATCCAGAAAACAACCTTTAGAGAGGCTCGAAACAATTTAAAAACTCTAAAAATACGTTTCTGGAAATTCCCAGCAGCTTTAGTGACCACCCAAAATCTGTCACTAAAAGCCTGTAACGCCTGTTGCTAAAAACCCAGAATTGCATCCTCACGAAAAATCACCAAATCGATCGATCTAACTCAAAGAAATCGAGTTCCCTTACTTCTAGAACGTGCCTAGGACTAGATTGGATGAGCCAGGACGTTGATCTCCTCGTTGATCGAACCCTCAAACGTCAACCATAAAAAAATACGAACTTCGAATTAGGCGTGAGGAAATAATGGGGGTGGGAAGGGTTTTTGGGGCCGCTCGGCCCCGAGGTCTAATATACTATTATTTTTTATAATAATAATAATAATAACTTATTATTATTATTACTAATCCGCGATCTCAACCTTTAGTATGTAACCGTCAATTCAATCGATCACGTATTAAGGTCGAACCTAAATCTAAAATACTAGAGTGTTACATAGTATGTTTCAGGCCATAGCACGTAAAATGGGTGAAATGACTGAAATTCGAACGAAAGGGATCGAAAATGGAGCAAAACGTTAAAAAGTGTCCAAATCATGATTTGGAGATTATAATGGGCATTAGATCGTGAAGATTACAAGGAGGTCGTGAAACTTGCAAGTTTCATGGAGCTTTCATCTGTTTCACAGGCAATGCGTGGATCACAGTCCCAGACCGTGAAGTCCACATGGAAACCGTGAAGTGTGTTGATGAAATGGCACATTTTGCGCTAACATAACATTTTTGTTGCACACTTCATGGGCATGATGTGCAATCGTGAAACATGCACAGTCGAGCTATATAAAAGAGAAGGAGATCATATCTTTGAAGAGAGTTTGAGTGTGAGATTGAGTTTCTTATTCCTCGACCAAGAGAGAGAGAAAGCTACGAACAAAGGAGAATTGAAGTGGATTTGACATAGTTAAGCCAAGAGGAGGCCAGATTTTATCTCCAAGTATCAATCTCAGCAACTAGGAAGAAGAAGAATCAAGTTCCCATGGCTTTGCCTTCTTTTCTAGTTGTTGTTCTTTCTCTAGATAGGGAGTAGTTCCTCTTTTTATTTGGATGATGTGAACTCTAGTCTATGATGTTTTAGATTGACGTTTGTGAACTCGATGTGATGATGGATATGTTTAATTATATATTGATTGAAAATTTATCATGAAAATTAAGTGTCCTTGATCAATTCCCTCAATTTTGGGAAAATTTGACCTAAGATAGAAGATATCCTTATGGAATTTGGAATCACTATTCAATCATAGTAGAGAGTCATGAATGAAGGTGATTGGTGTCTTTATGCCATTCGAGGTCAACGCTGGAGGGAGTGGATTATGTTGCCCTAATCCCCTTCGATTAGAGCAATTAAGAGAGTTAGGATGCCCTCGAATAGGGGTCCTAACTATATTGGATCTTCAAACGGTATATAGAACTTGCCAATCATACTAGAGTATCACAATCTCATCTCAACATGAGATTAGGGGATAATCAATCGAGTGGACCCTTCCTACTTGAGTTCAACATCGTTTTAGTTGTTTGATTGCTTAGTTTGACAGTTTAAACAATATTCCTATCGATTGATAACTTGGGGTTTACTAAAGTAAGGGTAGACAAACCACCCGGGTTGATAATTGAAAATATACTTGCTCTATACTACACTTGTCATAGGATTATGCTTGGTCTACAGTGGGAGTGTGTAATAGGTCGCGAGTCAATTATTATCGGAGATTCCCTCATGGGAAAGACTATTTCCACTATTATTAATCCATTGTGATAGCACCGCAACTATTGCTAAGGCTGAGAATTGTTACTGTAATGATTAGAGAATACACATTCGACATAAGCACAATACAGTCAGAGAAATTCCAATAATAGGAGAAGTGAGAGTGGATCATCTAAGGTCTTTTAATTCACAAATGCTAACACTAACCATCCATGAAATACACGAAAATCGGAAAGATATTTCGGGGTTTTCATTTAACAAACAAATAAAGGAAGAAGAGTAAAGTTGTTAAGAGGTTTTCAATTTATAGATGATTGAAAATAAAGATAAGTTATTGTAGAAGGTAGTGAACTAAAAAAATATCATGCATACTAAGGCTCGTTCATTTCAAGCATTGATGGTTCATCTATTGTAAAAATCTAGGAAACATTAAACACAATGCATATAGTAGCATACAATGGAATCATAAGCATCGATGTTGAAGAAGCATTCATACTATAGAAACATCAATAACCACCACATAAGCCTCTAAACTAAAAGCATCCATACAAGGCAATAGCCATCAAGAATTTCATAGACAAACATAAGCATGAGATGAACTCATAGCATTCACATAATGATAAAAATTATTATTATTAATTAATAAAAAATATACATAAGCACCCGGCCAAGAAACAAATTGAGAGAGAGGCGGAGTGGCGGCGTTAACTTGGTTTATTGATTAGGGAATGCCATTCTCGTGGGTTTTTGGGACAAAGGTGGGGGAGGTTCTGAAGTGGAGAAATTAAAAGCAATATAAAAGGAATGGGTTAACTTATATAAGTGACAGGATTGGTGTAACACCCTAACCCGGCCGGGTACTACTTTTACCAAAATACCCTTGTTAAACTGAAAATACTCAAGAACCAAAGTCGCTAAAAAGAGCGGAAAATTTTTTCATAAAAAAAAATACTGAAATCACTTTCTTGTAGTTCAAAGAAACGCCCTAACACATAGGCAACTCAAACCTTAATCTCCAGTCTTACTACTAAACATAAAGTACAATAACTAGAAGTCCCTGCGGATGCTTGCTCCGATCCGATCGCTGACGTCCTCCGCGATGCTCGTACCATTCTCCTCCAGTTGGCTCCCCTCGAAACGTTTCTTTCACTCTTGATGCTCTCTAACTACTCCTCTAGCTCTTTCTCTTCAAACTGGTGAGTGAAATGGGGTCAGTCTAAGCCTTTACGTTTTAAAACCTCTAATACTTGAGTACTTTACTTAAACACTTAAATTTAACTGGTGGAAGTTGTTTGTACTTCCAATCTTAACTCTTAAACTTTGAGGGAGTTGAAGTTACTCTCATCTCTTAAAGCTCAAATCTGAACTTAAATACTTGATTGACATGGGGATCCCTCACTAGCTAGTCCTGTTGCCAACTCATACGTATGAGAAACCATCTAGGCTTTTCTTAAACTTAAACTTAACTAGGGGAGTCGTAACGATTCATCCCCCTAACATCTGAAACTTATTGTGGTGGTTCTTCACCATGATTCTCAAGAGCATAACTGCTGCTCATCTTAAAAATCTCAAGAGCATAACTGCTGCTCAACTTCAATATCTCAAATGGCAACGGACTGGCACTAGTGACTAAAAACTCTTAAAATTATTTCACCTTCTTGAAGGTGAAGTACTTCTTAAAACAAAAGGACTTGTTCTTAACTTTAACAATCACTCATAAACGTAAAGCTTTAAAGCAAACATCACACATTCACTATAAACCACTGCACAAACAAGCACATATCATCAATCATGAGCATAAACAACCATAGCAACACTTCACAAAAATACTGAAAACTCTAATACTTGAAAGAATACGTAAGGCGTAGAATTTACCCCTTTACACTCACCTTGCGCTCAACCTTATCGTATTGAATCAGCTACTGAGGATTTCCCTCCACTTGTTCGTTACAGGCTTGCTCAGCCATATCCCCACCATTACATGAGCTGCACGTCCCAAGATTCATATCCCATGAATCAATTTCCAATGCCAGGCACACTTTATATCTAAAGTGAAAGAGGGATAATTCGTTACCTCTAATCCAATTCACTGCCACTAGTGGACAAATGATCCAAACCACCACCACGCCTTGGCAACCTTGCTCCGCTAGCTAGGATGCATAATTTTGATCGCTGCATCAGCAAACTAAGCAATGCAAATAGAGCTAGTTGCTCCGTCCAATTGAAAGTACCAATAGAGCTACCTGCTTCGTCCATTGTTGAGCGCTTCTCTCCCTCTCTCTCACGGATTCTCGGACTATTGCTGGGTATCCCTCCAGGTCCAGAAGCCTCTTCCTTTTTGTGTCCCCGCTCGCCCATGCCCCAGCTGTTAGATACATAAGCATAGCGGCTTCCCCCATTCAGCCGCTTAATTCCATGGGACCCAAACTTCACTTCCCTCTTAACATCATAATTAGATGAAATAAACCATCATCGTCGACGTTTTGGATATGGCCTACCCGCGTTCGTCCTTCTCCTTCACTAGTCGATCGATAGCCGTGGAGATTGCAGGTTGTGATACACCGCGGAATTGAGAAGGAGAGATGGGGATTGGGCTGGTGTGGCTGCTATTGTCACCGATCGGGTTGCGATGGAGAAAGGAGTGAGATGGAAGTGGGTTTAATGAGCCGATGTTGTTCATGTGGCGAGATTGAGAGGATGGACGAGCTGGGTTTTGGCTGCCGCTAGTGATAGGTTTAGCTTGGGGTCCCTCTTTGAACTTGGTTGCTTGGCATAATTCCACAGGAAGATGGTAACCGCCGCAGCAATAAAAGGGCCGATTTATGTCTTCTTAATTGACAGAATTAACGTTTGATAAAAAAAAAAAAAAAAAAAAAAAAAAAAAAAAAAATTTGACAGAATTAACCAACCAAAATGACATAACTTATCCATATTTAATTAGAACAATTATAGAATAATTCTTGAGGGTAATCCAAGGGTATAATAGTCATTTTGACCTTAGAAAGATCGGGGTGTAACAATTGGCTCACGTGCTCATTTGTCTACGTGATTATCATGGGTTAGTAATAGAGGATTGACAACTTAATTGACATTGTAGAGTGGAGAAGTTGAGAGCCACCAAGGGCGTCTCCTATGTTGCATGGGGAATGATAATTGGTTCGTATGGCCATGAAGAATTGGTGGTTTGGTTGGCTATGAAAATAGCTAAAGATATGTGGTCAATGGGAGGCAACGGAGACAGCAAAAGCAAGGGGTGGTTGTCTATTGATTTGATGATTAGTACAAGACGAATCGACTTTCGAGGTGAGTGTAAAGGGGGTAAAATATTTGTCGATATCTTTTTAGTTTATGCTTTCTGTTTCAAGTTATTATTTAGTTAATTTTTTAGTAATGCACGATTATATGTGTGAGGCATTCTACCGCCTACTTAAGGTGGATGCACGCGTTGTGCTATGTATATGAATGTGTATGGATGTATGGTAAGATGAACCCCCGGGCGGTTGGGCCACTACTGGACTCGGTAGATGGTCAGAAAACTGTTGGATGGCGAGACGTAACGCATCAGTTGATCGAGTATGTTGGGGTCACTACTGGATGGCGAGAAGTAACGCAGTAGTTAACTAGACATGGACTGGACGGCGAAACGTAACGCAGTGTCATTGCCAAGTTTGGGTATGCAACTAGACGGTTAGACGTAACGCAGTTGGCATACTAGCGTAGAGACACCGGACGACGATACGTAACGCGGTGGACCCTAGTTTTAAGAGTATAAGTTAAGATAGAAGTAGAGAATTTCTATGAGCTCAGGATAGAAGTAGAGAACTTCTATAAGCTAGTAAGGAATGATTACTTAAGGGCAGAGAGCGAGAACGACTTTCATGGTAGGAAGGAAATTTTCTAATAACGTGTTAGTAAGGTTTGCTTATGCAAAGACCTTAGGAAGTAACGGCGAAACTAACCCCTTCTCACTCACCAGGTTGAGGAAGGGTATGCGGTGGCAGATTCAGAGAAGAGGCAGAGCGAGGCGAGTAGCCACACCAGCATTTGACCGGGTTCCCGGAAGCTCAACGAGGAGTTAGAGTTAGTTTCATAATTTTTGTTCATGATTATGAGTATATAAACTGGAGATTCGGGATTTTGAGTTTGAGTGGTCTTGTTGACCATGGTTTGAGGTCTCCCAATTGTTTAGGGAATTTCATTTGAAATTCATTTGAAAAAGATTCGGTTGGATTTGTTTTTCTTGATGTTTTGAACATTATTTTGGTCGGCTCCGGAGCAATGAGTATTTCGGTTTGTTTAAAAGTATCGGGTCGTGTCATGAATCTCAATAATCTGCTAAAATTTGTGGCTTACAACCGATTAAATAGGTATGGAAAATAAACCTAATGAAAACACCAAAAAGGAAAAGAATTATAAGCGAAAAGGTAACAAAAATCGACAGGCAAAAATCCCCGGTCTAAAAACCCGGTAGAGTAATTTAGTGCACCGGTCGGGGCCTATCCTGCTCAGGATCCCTGGTCTCTCCCTCCATTTCCCCGATCGGTGATTCTTCATAGCCGGCTGGGCTTCTCTGCTGGGTGGAATCACATCACTTTCCCTACTCTCCAAGTGGCAAGGCACGAAGTCGCTTGAACAATAGGCCTCCACTCTCAATCACATATTTGGATGACTTGCTTACCAAGTTCATGAATCGATATTTTCCGACTTCCACGATGGCGAAATATTGGAAGAAAATCACCCATTTTGCTCAAGAGGATGACGAGACTTCCAGGGATGCGTGGGAGAGCTATTCCGATCTCTTTCTATAATGTCCATACCATGGTTTTGGTGAGCAGTTCTGGAATGAGATATTCTACAATGGTCTCTTCCGAGAAGATTGAACGTTTATTGATTCTCTATGCCAAGGGAATATGCTCAGCAAGACTTCACCCTAAATGACGACATTGTTTGAAGAAATGGCCGCAAAGGCATATGATTGGGGGATGACAAGGCCTGGAAGGAAGATTCAATATAGGGGAGTGCACTCCACCGAAGCAAATCCTCCACTTGTGGCAAAGATTGATGAGTTAATTAAGGTGATCTTGCATGATAGGAAGCAAGGCAAAATCTCAGTTATGGATTGTTATTGGTGTTCGAGTCCTAACCATGAAGTTGAAGAATGTCAAATCATGAGGGAGGCAAACACCTCGGAAGAACAAGTTTATGTCATTGTGAATGCTAGAAGCTCCACCAGTAGCAACAAATCATGCGGCAAGTTGCACAATCCGGGAGGGAACGACCACCCGGTCCATGCATGGGTAGCACTAACCAATAAGAGCCTCAAATTCAAGCCATTACTTCTCTTTCTTATCAACCATAATCTAACAGGATTTCCAAACTTGAAGATCTCGTGACCACATTTGCGAGTTCAAGCTCGGAAAAGTTTGAGAAGATCGAGAAGTTTATGGCTGAGGCCTCTGTGGAATTTGCATCCATTGAAGAAGGGTTGATATTGACGGCGAGGAATGATAAAAATGACCTTCTCTATTGCAGATAGTATGAAACATTCTAGGGAGCATCATGATGTTGATTATTACGATGTAGTATCATATTATGTTGTTGCACTCGCTAATGCGGGTGCTAGTTCTAACGACTAATTTTGAGCAATGTTTTGTGATAGGTACACATGGCCTAGATGAACTTCAGTTGGAGGAGCATCTAGCGAGCACAGTGAAAGTTCAAATATCGGAGCATGAACCAAGGGTAAAGCCATTACCTCCATCTTCCAAGATCCCCACTTTTTTGGAGAAACGCCCGGAGTTGGAATTGCAGCCACTACCTAGCCACCTCGAGTATGCCTTCTTGAGGGAAGGATGGAAACTTCCTGACATCATAGTTAGATCAACGAATCATTTCCTGATTAGAGGTTGCTCGCGTTGGCTGCGGTAGAGAGCACAACACCTTGGTTTGACGACTTGGCAAATTATTTGGTGGGAAGACAATTGCCTAAAGGAATGAGCACTCAGACGAAGAGAAAATTATTCTCCAACCTTCGGCTCTATTGCTGGGATGATCCCCATCTTTTTTGGATAGGGGTTGACGATGTGATTAGGCGTTGCGTTCTAGCAGGAGAGATGCGAGCCATTCTTGTCCAATGACATGAAGGAACGACCGGGGGAATCACGGGGGTAACCAAACTGCCAGGAAGGTGCTCCAGTCGCGTTTCTACTAGCCCTCTCTATTCAAGGATGCTGATGAGTTTGTTCCCCGATGTGAAAACTGTTAATATTCAGGTAACATCTCTAACTGGAATGAGATGCCCCAAACGATTTATATCACTTGTGAATTTTTTTATATTTGTGGCATTGACTTCATGTGGAAATTCCCCTCTTCATTTGACAACAAATATATCTTCGTTGCAGTAGATTACGTCTCTAGGTGGGACGAAGAGCAAGCAATACCCATCAATGATGCAAGATGTGTTTGCATGTTTCTCAAGAAACTTTCTCCGGGTTTGGGACCCTTAGAGTCATCATTAGCGACCGAGCAACTCACTTTCAAGGTCAATTTGGAAAACTTTTAAGTCGCTATGGTGTGACTCATAGGGTATCCATGGCTTACCACCCACAAACAAGTGGTCAATTAGATTTAACTAACTGAGAATTGATAAGGATACTAGAAAAGACAATGGATCGATTCTAGAAGAATTGGTCCACTAAGCTCAATGGGCATATCACACTGCCTATAAGATGCCTAAGGGTGCATTATCCTATAGTCTTGAGTATGGCAAAGCGTGTCACCTACCAGTAGAGGTAGAGCACAAGGCTTTTGGGCTATCAAAATGCTTAACATGGATGCAGATATTTGTGGCAATGAGCAGAAGTTTCAAATTATGGAGTTGGAGGAGCGGCGATATCATGCTTATGAGAGAACTAGCCTCTACAAAGAGAGAACGAAGCGTCTTCATGATTCCCGTCTTAAAGGGAACAAAGATTTCAATGAGGGAGAGCAAGTCCTCTTCTACAACTCCAGGCTTTGTCTGTTTTCTGGAAAGATGAGATCAAGGTGGACAGGTCCTTACTTGGTGACCCAAGTCTACTCTTATGGGGTAGTAGAAGTTTCCCACCGAAAGCATGGTTTTTCAAGGTCGATGGTCACCATCTTAAGCGCTACCTCGAGGATCAAGTTGTGCTCGAAAAGGAGGTAGTGAGGTTGGAGGACCTCTAGGAGCCTTCGGATGTCTCGCGGGCAGTGTCAAGATCACGGTCTCCAAATCTTGATGTCAACAAGGAGCCCGTGAAGTTTGTTAGTGAAACTACGCATTTTATAAGGATATCACAGTTTTACTGTCGACTTTACGGGCGTGATATGAGACCATGATGTGTGCACTCAGAAATTATATAAAAGGGAGTGGACTGATTTGAATAGGAGAGTTCTAGAGAGAGACTAGAGGCTTCTTCTTCATGGGTTAGAGAGAGACCTACGAGCTAAGAAGGAAGGAAGGAGGGAGAATTTCACCCACCCAAGGCTAAAGGAAGATTGATTTTTTCTCCAATGATTGAGTCAAGGTAGAGGAGGAAGCACTTTGCTATGGTTTTCTTCTATATTCTAGGTGTATTTTCTCTTCTAGCTATGGAGTAGTCTCCAATTTCACTTGGATATTGTGAACTCTAGTCTAGGATGTGTTAGATTGTAGGATTTGAACTCTTTGTGTGTTGGGTTTGTGATTTATGTAATGATTGAGTTATTATTCATGGAAATTGGATGTTATTGATCAAAGCCCTCAATTTAGGGACAAGTTGATTTAGAAGGAGGAAATTCCCTTATAGCCCATTCTTGGCAATTCAGGTAACCGTTTCTAGGCCAATCCAGGTTAACCCTCGATCATTGAAGAAGTGCCATGATACGTCTTGATTGGTTAATTTTCACCGTTCCGGATTAACTTCCGAGGAGTGGTTTCCTAGCTAATTTAGAACTCCTACGCTATATAAACCTACCTATCGCACTAGAGTTTCTTCTTTGCGTCTTAACACAAGACCAGGGGGCAATGTTCGATTGATACTTTCTCAATCGAATTCACCAAAGTCTAATTGCTTGCTTGTTTAGTTTGTTTAATTTTCTTAGATTTAACCACAATTTGATCACTAGATAACGTGTAAACGACATAGATAGTCCGCTCGGATTGATATTGAAATACTTACCACATGAACAAGCAAAAGAAAAGTTAACTGACAAGAAGTTTACTTCAAGAGAAAATATGCACTTGGAATAGGAATCTCCCTAACCCTAGCATGTGGTTGGCCAGAATGGAACTCTCATGTACTCTCCGTAATTCATTATGATGCAAAAATCTCATAATAACAACCAAGCCAATGGGCACGAATCACAACTAGGAGATTGTGGTCGTGATCATGTAGTGATCGTCGTGATCTCTAGTAGTTGTCCCTTGTGTCCTCTAAACTTGCACCCTTTGGCTTAAAATTGTGCCCAAACCACCATATTCTTCATCGAACCTTGAAAATGTTACATTGATAACATCCTAGACTAGAATGGAGTGAAAATGAACACAGTTATAATGCCTAAGAATGAGATACGAAAATTTTAATATATATAAAGTTGAAGTGAGTTTACTGTTATCAAATAACTTACAATTTAATACTCCAAATTTAATTAAATCACAACTTAGTCACTATAATGTATATTTTACATTTTGATACCCCAAATTTAATTTTAATGTAAAATAATTGAAAATTTATATTTTGGTATCTAAATTTTATGAGATATTTATACCTATAGTTTTTAAAATTTACATATTCGTCTAATGTTTAGATTTCTTTTGAATCCATGAATTCAATCCATCAATCCTTTTGAATCAATCCATGAATCCAATCCACCATAACATAAAAGTATAAATTTAGTTTGTACAGTACAAGATATCAAAAAACTCAACTTTAGGAGAAGATTCAACCATTTTACAAAAGCGAATTTATAAACTCATTTAATACATTTACGAGTAGTAAACAAATTTTTACTAACTACATGTAACAAAATATGTGACATCTTCAAAAGCAAGTGTCAATAAATTGCTACGGTGAAAAGGGTTGACTGTTGTATTGACGGTCAACTAAAAGAATTGGTCAAAACCTTTCTATCATCTATTTTCTCTTCGTTTCATTTTTCACTAGCCTTCTATAGACCATAACGCTTTCTTTATTTCTTTCTTTGCCTTCTTTGTCTATCCCTAATTAATATACTATTTTTATGTATTCTAACCACAAGTATAACGAGTCCATACACGACTCACCAACAGGCTAGAGAACTAACAATTGAACCATGAACCACTAACTTTTTCAGCTCAATGTCGAGTTCAATTAAAAATAAATATATATGGTTATTACTTATTAGAAAATCGTCATTTTCCACTTTGGGATTTGAGGGCATGAAATTTAAGCGAGTTCCAGTTTGTATTCCTTTTGCTTCTCTCTAGAGTTTTTCTTTTTCACCGACGCTAGAATTTTCAACAATTATACATGGAATGTTTGGCTAAGTATCAAATAAATATTTTTCATTTTTCTACCAAAGAGTAAATAATTATGACCTTAAATACATCACCATAAAAGGAATTAAGCCTCAACTATGCAAATTACAGTTTTGTACCTAAACTTAATATATTTTTAGATTTATAACCTAAATTTTATTTGGGACATATAAGTCCTCAAATTATTGATGAAACAACACACGTTAGTACCCAAAAATTTTGTGTATTACATTTTGGTACCTAAACTTTTGAAGTTCTGAAGTCTAGTTTTTGTATGTGTAATTAAAACACCCTCGAATAAATGGGTATCCATACCCAACGCATACAAAATTAGATTATGCAAGTAAATATCCATACCCTACCCAAACCGATATATACATCACACATACCCTACCCATAATAATCAATGGGTCTACTTGGGTTTTGATAAATATCATTTACTAGCCAAAATTTTCAAAAATCTTTAAATTGGACGTTGACCATGATATATGTATTCTTTTAACAAAAATGCTAACAAAAAATTAATTTTAGCCTAATAATACTCATAAAAGATCATAACGGGCCACATAATACATGCAAATAGGCGATCTCCGCCCGCGACAAGACGCGACATCACCACCTAGTGTCTAATTTATACTTTACCACTATCTAACTTTTTATTGACATATTTTGGTAAAGGGAAAAATATAATATTCCCCCTCTGGACTTCCTCCTCCGACTCTAAGAAAGAATGACAAGGTCAGCCCTTGAGGCAAGCATAGGGCTGCAAATGAGCTGAGGTGCTCACGAGCGGCTCGACGTTCGACTCGAGAAAAACTCGTTCGAAACTCGGCTCATTAATAAACGAGCCGAACATGAGCTAAACTTTGTTCAGCTCGTGAAGCTCGCAAGCTAGCTCGACTCGGTGGCTTGTTGAGCTAAACTCGTGAGCTGGCTCGTTTAGAGCTCATGATATGTCTCAACATGTGGCTAGAGAGCCAACTCGATTACCGACTTATGGACAAATCAATCTATATCTTATGATTTTATTTCATATGGTTGTTAAATTATATATCTCACCATATATAAAGTTTAACACGTTGAGTATGTGAGCAAATATATCTTATTTTCTACTTTAATAAGAAATTATGTATCATAGATTGCTTCGATACTATGAAATAACATGATTTGGATTAGTTAAAATTATTAACTAAATGATATATAATACCAGCAAAGTATAATATGAGATTAGTTAACAAAATAAATCATATGTATCATGATATACAAAATAAAGTACCAAATAAAACGCAAGATTTTAGTAAACAAGCTACATCGAGCTCGGCTCGTTAATAAATGAGCTGAGCTCGACTCGTTTATTAACGAGTCAAGCTCAACCTGGGGTAAAACTCGACTCGGCTCATTTGACAAGCATTCATTAACTTACCTAACAGTTGACCAACAAATACAAATGAACAGCAATGGCGCTCAAGTCATACAAATTAAATAAACCAAAAGCAACAATGGAAACCCAAATAACTTTAGTTAGTAATCCAACACTGCTAGTTCTTTCTCTCATTTTTCTCCATCCCCATGGTAAAACAAAGGTGAACAAAATAAAATAAGAGCAAGGAAAAGCCAGACAGTCAATTCAGGTAAACTGGATTGTAGATCAGATTACATAGTCAAACTTGTCTCTTATGGCTCATATTTAGACTCATGCTTCTGAGGGGTTCCAACAAACCTACCATCTCTTCATCATCATGGGGCTCTAATTATGTTTATTCCTCGCGCAAACCATGCTTGGTAGACCCACTAAGAATAATTATGCAATTGTAATCATCAATCGTCAGCTCCCAGACACTAAAAGTCGCGTCCTTTGTATGCCATTTCCTATTATCCAAAAGATTAAGCAAAACATCCCAGAGTCAGTAACCTAACAAACTAAAAGGTTCCAGTTCTTTCAAAAAACATATCATTCAGAGTTTTGTTTTATCATTTCTAAACGATAAATTTTTATTTTATGTTTGAACTATCTTAAATCTTCTCAAGTTATTTTTGTAATTCATTATGCAAAAAATATTTTTTGATTCTCAGACGTGCATCAATATTTTTGTTTTAGCATACTCAACCAAATATGATTGAAGTAGTGAGAAAAGAATTAGGACTTGGAAACGGAACAAAGGCGAAGGAGCGATTGGAACGGCTCAACAAATTGAAGCACGGAATTGTCCTTAAAATAAATAAATTACCTGAGTAGCCAAAGCCGTCTAAAGGTCGGGAAGATGGTATGGAGGAGAAAGTCGGCGACGGGGAATTTGGAGGCATCCGAATAGGATGGGAAGTTGATAGGGCTGTTAAGAAGACGATGGCCTTGAATACCGACGGAAGATATAATATAGCAGGGAACTCTAGGGCGGAGGATAGGAAGTTGAGAAACAGGTTCCGTAACGGAATGAGGAACTTGGCAAAGTTTGGGGAAAAAATAACTGCAAAGAAGGGCGCGGAAGAAGGAGGCCGTGGCTGGTGAAAATGAGAAAAAGAAAAGGAAAATCCGCAAGTTGCTTCCGAGAGAAAACAGCTTTAAATAATTTGAGATGAGATTGAGAAGAAAGAAGATTGAGAAGATGAGATTAGAAGAAGATACCAAGGAGGTCTAGAGATGTTGAGAACTGCTTACAGGTTGGTAGCCTGGCATGTACAAGACTTGCCTCGGGTGGCCAAGATTCATCTGTTGACCATACTGCAATCACAACAATATTTGGGTAAGACTATATGCCCACTGTTCTGTATGATCACAACCAACAGCACAGCACAGCACAGCACGTCAATTTTGGGTCTTGACTAACAAACAACAGCATCATACCTGAGGCCCGCTAGGATGGAAATAAGGTTGGGGAGATCGCAGTGGTGCAACTTGTGGGTTAAATAGAACATGCTGATGCCCACTGTATGATGGACCCATCTGCAAAATCCAATATTAGTTACCATTATTTCACGGAAGAGAATCTCATCAACTATTCCTATCAGCCCTACATGTAAACCTTGCAAGTCAACGAATTCAGAAAATCCACAAATAAACACGATGAACTTATCACATAACTAAGGTTCAATTTTTGTGTTGCAAAGAACATCGACAAATGATCATTGCCAATTCAATAGGAAGTGCTGGTTCTCTTTAGCTCCTACCAATCAAAAGGAGAAGCACAGCAAGTGATCAGTTTTAATACTTACTCCAATCCCCACTGGCATCCCGTGCATTTGTGGTAAAGTGGTAACATTTGGCGTGAAGTAATAAGAACCATCGGAAACCGGTGATGGAGGTCGAACTGGCGACGAATGTGAAGGAGTGAAACTCTTTGCATTTGGGTTGAATTTAAATTCCTGTTGGCAAATATGAAACACAACAGGAAGCCAAAAAAAAAAAAATATACTAAGTGCACTGGCCACGAAGAAACCCAACATAATGGTAGCAAAGCATGAAATTATCTGCAGGGGTATAGAAAGCACTATGTTGCACTAACTCACACCTTAGCATGTGGATTCAGAGTTGAATTTTCAGAAGATGAGGAACCAATTAACGAAGAGCTTGGAGATACAGCAGGATGACTAGAAGCTGACGTAGCACCTGCATGATCCGAACCTGATGCAAAAGTACCAGGTTGTCTGCATGCACTAACACCAGAACTTTCTCCATCCGCTTTAACATAAACAACCTCTGGTTCAGTAGGTGGCATTTCCTTTACAGAACTTGTCACCGAAGGAGCATCAGCCAATAGTCCACCTCTATCAAAGCCAGCAGTCTGACTGTTCTCTGCAGACTGGGATTCTGAAAGGCAACAAATATAGGAAGTACAAGCAGCAAAACAACAATTTCAGACAAGAACTAGTTGCTCATTACAACACCCGCATGCATAGCAAAATTCTGTCTTTCAACATTAGCAGAAGGCATATAAACAATGGTAATTCCCTTACCATTGGATTTAGACAACTTGCCATCCACAGCTACCTGTATTTGTGAAGCAAAGAGTGGATGGAATATTCCATCAGAATCCATTTATCTAAGGTAAATGTAGCAGATTCAACTATCAAAAGAATGGCTGGAGGATTTGGGAGATTTGCCTCACCGTTTTCGTCTCAATGCTAGCATTAATGCTATCATGCCCTTGTGCAACTCGCAAAATCTCGGGATTCCTACAGTTTCAAGGTGAGCAGTTTAGGAACTTGCATAACCACAGAGAAATGTGTCCTTTGCATACAATTCAAAGCACTAAATGCAAATATAATGAACAAGGAGAGACCCGTATAAAGACCTTCCATTACAGTCTGAAGTGGAACTTTTACACGGAAGATCATCTGCCTGCTGTCTACAATGGTCATATGTATTGGACTGGAAAAATTCTGACCCGTTACTTGATTGAGAACATTGTGGTTCATCCTGGAAATCACAAACAAAAGGCAAGTATCACTATCCATACAGTCAAAGCCCATTATATTAGAGCCAAGAAGAAATTTCAACAACAGTATCAATTGTCTAAATAATGAACATTTCATCCCAGAAAAGAGAATTAAAAGAGTAATACCACTGAAGAGGTTAATAATGCTCCGGCACTGTCATTGCTTGTACCACGATGCAGGTGGTCAGTCTTTGCACCGGATGATGCAGGTACATCACCGAATGTTTCAGTATTCCGTTTGTCTAACAATATATCCTCATCTTCATCGTATCCACTATCATCAAGCCCCCTGCCTCTGATGACTGAAGAAAACCTCACCTCCTCATCACCATCAAAATCTTCACCAAGGTTGATGCCCCTTTCCTGAAATCCATATTTCAGTCGAGATTCAATGGCTTTTACAACGGAAAATAGAAAAGGAAAGGAAAGCTTGGAGAGAGCACTCAATCACCTCCGCTAAATGTAGGTCTTCTGTATCCTCGCCCTCAATTTCTCTAGCGATCCTTGTTGCTTCCCTCTCCAGCTCTCTCATTCGAGGGCCCTTCTCCAACCTTGTAGTGTAGAGCTCCTCATCAAAAGTGCTTTTCACTCCAAACAACATTTTGTTTGTTTCAAACTGATCCCACCCCCTGAAATAACATAAAAGGCCAAATGGATATCACAAACCTCAGATGGCAATGATTCCAAGAGAATCATCCCATTGCATTACAATAACTTTTTCCAGGATCTAGTTTCTACCCAAGCCTTTCTTTTGGGTGAAGGTGAGTGCTCTAACAGTGGTTCGATAAAGGACCAAGCCAAGAAAGCAAAGCCACTATCAACTCAAGTAACCTTGCAGGCTTTCATTCCTAGCAATAGTATAACAAATAACAAGTAGAGCACCCAATAAAAAATAACAGGTAGCACCAGTTTGGCAGCACCCATACAACTAGCCACAATATGAAAAGGAAAAAAAAATACTGGAAGAAATGAATCTAGGAATGTTCATCATAGTAACCTGTTCCAAGGGCCGTCAAATATGTTCTCAAGTCCAGGGCATTGTGGATCATCTTCATCAGGTACCCACGGTGATAGCTCTCTATCCAGTTCCACGTGACGGGAGTGTGATATAGATGAATCTATCAAAATGTCCTCATGCCTTTCATTTTGGAGCTCATTGGACTGCCCCGCAACAGTTACAGGTACATCCTGGCAGAGTCAAATAAACAACTATCATACAGTACAAATAATCAAAAGAACAAGTCAATAGCTTCATAGTTTCTTTCATCAGGAATAGCTATCTAACTCTTTCATTCACTGTATGTGAGCCTGGCTTTATCACATATATCATCTTCAAGCAGAAAGACAGGAAATGCATCTAACCTTAGCTATGACCTCTGCAACCTCTTTTCCGGGTATAATTAAAGTCTTCGAAGGAGCTTTCATAACATATTCCTGCTTACTCCCTCGATAAGACGCGTCCTTTGTCATGCGAGCCATTTTCAAAATAATAGCTGAAACATACAATCATTTAAAAGACTGAGAAATAATACAAACCAGTACACTAATTAACAAACTACGGGAATCTTCAACCAAACAAGCTCAAGAAGCTTACCGAATTCCTGCTCAACATTTGTGGTGTGACACGTTCCAGAGTAGATGGACCCATTTTTGAGCCGGACTTCCACAGGATGCCCAATAAGGCAGGTTGATAGATATACCAGCCGATCACGAGATGGACTCTCATAAACTGGAGCTTTGCTGGTCCCAACTGCACTTAAACAAACATTGTCAAAGAAAAACTCTCAACAGACAAGGCTTAGCAGAAAAAGTCGGAGGCCCTCACTTGCATTCATCGATCTATTCTGGTTTAATTTCCCAGATTGATGTTTATTTTCCAATCTCATTCCGCTTTCCCTTTCACTTCTTCGACGAGCAAATCCATTGGCAGAAGATTTTAGCTGAGCAGTCTGTTGCGTGTTCATCTCAGCAGCAGCGAAAGAAGATCGGAGTTTTTTGGGGCTTTAGGGATTCGGATGCGCAAGAAGATCGGAGACAGGGGCGGAGAGCTCGGGGGGCCGAGTTTTTTTGCTTAGTTACCTTTTTTGCCCTGGGAATCAGTGACGTTCAATTTTGTCAAACCGGGTTATACAGGTGTGCCGGTTTTAAAAGTGAAATGGTTCGACCATGGTACAATCAGTATTCACGTCGGTTGTGCCGGTTTTAATAAAATATATGAGACAAATGGAAATACTCAATTCCAAATAAATTAATCATAAAAAGCAATTAGAAAAATTATTTCACACAAAATAATTTATAGCTAAGAATTGGTAACTAATACTAAACAATTAGATGCTTAAAAATAAAAGTATATAAAATGAGTTTTATTAATGTTTATAATGATTTGTGTAAAATTTAGTATTAGATATATAATATATAAGGTTAACATATATAACAAAGTTGCTTGTAGCCTACTGGTGTATAAGAGAGTCTAAAATGAACATGAGGTACTTGGTTCAAATCCTAAGGAGGGTGTTGATTTTTGGATAAAATATGTGTAACATTGAATTTCGGTTTCTGGTCTAATCGGCCGGAATTTCTCGAATTGACTGGGTCTGACCGGATTTGACCACAGTTAAATACCGGCCTCTTTCCAGCAGGTTTGGTGACCGGTACCTGTTGAACCCAGTTGAACCGGCCGGCATGAGACCGGTTTGACAACCATGGTGACGTTTATTATATAATAAAGTATAAATTTTTTTGGTAAATTACAAGTTTGATCATTGGGATGACTAAAACGGTCTTATTTGGTCACTAAAAATAATTAATCTTCTTGTAAAAAAAAATTAATTCCATTTATACAAACATTTCAAATTTGTTCATTCTTCGTTGGTCTCCTTCGGCCTCCGTTAATCAAGTCTGTTATGTGCTGACGTGACTGACAGAATTGTCTAATCAATCTAATTTAACCCAGACATGATGAAACTCGACTCACCACATCATTAAAACCCACCGTGTCACCTTGTCCATCTCATTTTCCTTTCCGAATCAGAAATCTACTTCTTGTTCATTTTTCTTACCCGAATCCAATACCTAGAAAACCAAAAAAAAAAAACCAAATTTCTAGATCTCGTTCTTCCCATACCTTATCCCCGTAACAGTCTCGACCACTTGATTTCGTCAAACCCAATCCCAGTGCCTCGCAAGTTTCACCGTCCGGATGGGTGCCAACGGAATTGAGCTCGTCGACGTTTTCGTTCACTCTAAGGAAGAGGAGACGAGATTTGCCTACTCTGAGATTTTAGCAACCGCCGAGCTTGGCTAAGTTCAGATATGGACTTTGATCTAGAAGGAAGCGACGCATCGGTAAACTTCGCTTCGATGTTGAGGAGCGATCCGACGACCTTGCTTGCGTCCCAAACCGCCTGACAGTACATTGAGTTAGTATAAATACCCCCAAAGGGGCAGCATTTATGGTAACTCCCAACGACTCAACTCTCTCTCTTATTCACTTTACATTCACTTCTCTCTCTAACTTAGGCATCGGAGGAGGTCCCAGGATTCCCCTGAGGACCTTTATCGTAGGGTTACGGAGACCGCCTTCGACCATCTAAGCCGCACGAGGACGTGGTGTCTCACACAACCGCCTGGTACTATCTAGGCACAAACATTTTGGCGCCCACCGTGGGGCCCACGACTTCGTTGCGGAAAAGATGGGAGATTATTTCGAAACCCCTCTCAAAGGGATGACCGAGAGTAGAAGATGAAAGTGAACTCGAAGAAGTAGTCAAGAATCAAGGTGTACAGATTGCAAGCATGCAAGACAGCCTCTCCCAAATCCTCCAACTCTTGAAAACGAGGGAGGAACCAGCAGAGGGCTCAAAGGGAAAGGCGCGCGATGAAAAACATAAGGCTATCCACGTCCTCGACAGCCCCGCTCGGACGGAAGGCGGAGGACTGGAAGCAGAAGAAGTGGACCTCAGTTTCCTTGAAGAGCACCTGCGGTCCACCTACGAAAGGCATAAAAGTCCGAACGTCCTACAAAACCTGTTGTCAAAAGAGCTGTTTAAGACTCCGATCCCGCCTAACTTCTCCTCGTTAGGATTGCCCACCTACAACGGGACCTCAGATCCCGCGGATCACTTGTGCACTTTCATGTTGAAAATGCAACTCATTAATGCGTTCGAATCGGACTTATGCAGGGCGTTCCCGGTTACCTACAGCGGTCAGTGCCACACTTGGTACACTTCTCTCCCAGAAGGAATAATTGAGAACTTTGAGCAATTCGCGATGCTCTTCTCTACGAAGTTCGCGTCCCAAAGGCGTCGCAAGCTCACCATCTCAACCCTCATCAATTGTCGACAAAGGAAGGAAGAGTCACTTGCCCAATTCTACGATCGCTGGAACACGATCGCATGCGAGGTAGACGACATCTCCTCAGTCGTGGCCGCCGGAAACCTCAGAATATCCACAACCAGTATCGAGCTCAAAAGAACGTTGATAAAAAAGGAAACCACCCTGACATCGTGGTTCGATCTAGACCAGCTGGTACGACGAGCGATCTTGCTGGAGGAGGCACTAGCCACCGATGATCGTTCTCAACAAGGTCGCCCTCGAGAACACCAAGAGCGCGGAGACTCCAAGCGGGGAAGGCGCTCTCCAGAACGAAAGCCATATCGGAACCAATATAACGACCGCGGGGTCAAGAAGGAAGTGTTCTCCACGGACCGCGAAAGAGGAAGGGAACGACGAAGAGGGGGAAGGAAACAAGATGCGTCCTCCAGGCAGGAGTCGCAAGACGGAAAGAAGTGGTGCAACTGGTACCAAATCACCACTCACGACACCACTGAGTGCCGAGAATTCAACGCTAGCCTGAGATATTTGGCGCCGGGCGACTTGCGAAGTCGTCTAGGACAAGACGCTCACACCGCGATCATTCTCAGAGACGCGCGAGGGATCCCGCAGCCCAGACACGGAAAAAATAAGGAGAACGAGAAAGGATAGGTCAAGGTCGCCAGCTAGAAACAAGGTCGCCTCCCCCCAAACGCTTTCCGCAGTCTACAAACCGCATCGCAACGGCGATGAGGGAATGGAAGTCATCACCATCACGGGTGGACGAAAGCGGCCTCGGACCGAAGGAGACCACATAGCTCATTGCCTCAATGTTCAGCGAAGAATGACAACTGATGTCACCTTTCTACCGTCTGAGTTAGCCAAAGAGGAAAACACGGAGGAACCATTGGTCATTTTGGTTTCGAACCGCCAAATTCCAGGTCACGCGAGCTCTCGTGGATAATGGGAGCTCCACAGGCATTCTTTTTTACTCGACACTCAAAGGGATGAAGAAAAGCGTCCAAGACCTCAGTCCATCCAACACTAGGCTGGTAGGATTCTCAGGAACCAAGGTGCGCGTCTTAGGGTCGATTACACTCAAAGTCATCATAGAGGAAGGCGGAGTCACCAAGACCAGGCCAGTGGAGTTCCATGTAGCAGATTGCCCGTCGGCATAAAACGCCATTCTGGGTCGCGGTTTCCTTGCCTCTTTCGAGGCGGTCGCATCCACCTGCCATCAAATGCTGAAGTTCCCTAGTGGAGGGCAAATGGGTCGCGTCCGGGGAAACCCAAAGGAAGCCAAAGAATGTTACCAAGCTACCATTGAGCACCTCGAAGTAGATCTTGTGGATGCCAGAGGAGATGTTCCGCGTCCCGAGGCCGCTGAGGGTGACATAGCGGTCGCACTAAATGAAGAACGCCCGGACACGGTTCGTACCTCGGCCCACCTAGACACAGAAGAGGCCCAACGGCTACTCACACTCCTTAGAGAGTTCCAAGACCTCTTCGCTTGGGGACCTGAAGATATGCCTGGCGTTCCCCTACACATCTCTGAGCACCACCTTTCGGTCAAGTCGAAAGTTCGACCCATAAACAAAGAAGAAGACATCTATCTGTCGAGAAGAAAATGGCCCTTGAAGAAGAAGTGTGACGGCTACTCAAGGCCGACTTCATTAGAGAAGTGAAATATCCTACTTGGCTCTCCAATCCGGTCTTCGTGCGAAAGGCAGGGGGTGCCTGGAGGATGTGCATCGACTTTACCAGCCTCAATGCAGCGTGCCCAAAAGATGCATACCATCTCCCCCCGCATCGACCAACTTATTGACGGAACCGCCAATCATGAGGCGCTCAGCTTCCTGGACATGTTCTCGGGGTATAACCAGATACGATGGCCGAAGGTGACCAAGAACTAACCGCTTTCATGACACCCATGGGCAACTTCTGTTACATAGTTATGCCTTTTGGGTTGAAGAACGCTGGAGCAACTTACCAGCGAATGGTCGATGCGGTCTTCAAAGACCAAATGGGAAGAAACGTGGAGGCATATGTCAACAATGTGCTAGTCAAGAACAAGAAGGCCGACGCTCACTAGTCCGACTTAAGATAAACGTTCGAGACCCTGAGGCGGCGGAATCTGAGGCTTAACCCCCTCAAGTGCGGGAAAGTTTATGGGCTTCATGATCACCAAAAGGGCCATAGAGGCTAACCCCAAGCAAATAGAGGCCATACGCGGTCTCAAACCTCCAAAGACGATCAAGGAAATTCAGGCGTTCAATGCCAAAATGGCCGCACTAGGAAGGTTTATCCCTCGCTCAGCGGACAAATGCTCACCATTCTTCCAAATGTTGAAAAAATCAGCCCCAAAGCTACAATGGAACGCCGAATGCGACAAAGCCTTCACGTCTCTGATGAACCAGCTAAGTTCCATGCTGGTTCTGAGCGCCCCCATCAACGGAGAGCGCCTCTACCTTTACCTGGCAGTCTCTAAGCAAGCCGTGAGCTCTGTTCTGGTAAGGCGAGCGCAAGACGGTTCCGACCAGCCGGTCTATTACGTGAGCAAGGCACTCCTCCCAGAGAGAGACAAGGTATATGCCAGTAGAAAATGCGGTCCTCGCCGTAGCCTCCGCAGCAAGGAAGTTGAGACCCTACTTCCAAGAACACCCCATCACAGTGCTTTCTCATCGCCCACTCAAGAGCATCATGAGGGACATGGACGCCTCAGGGCGACTGACCAAGTGGGCAATTAAGCTCAGCGAGTACGACATCGAGTACGCCCCACGACCAGCCATCAAGGGTCAGGTCCTTGCCAATTTCATCATCGAAGGTTTCTCAATCGAGACCGCCCCATCGAATGAACAGCATGCCGTCTAGCGCTTGTTCACAGATGGAGCAGCCGGAAAGACCGCCTCGGGAGCGGGCATAGTCATCGAATCACCAGACGGAGCTATCCACGAGTTCTCATTGAGGTTCAGAGACATCAAAACCAACAACGTGGCTGAATACGAAGCCCTCATTAACGGGCTA